CCTTTTCTCAAAGTCTTTCTAACATACCATTATGCCATCCAAGTCTAAAGTTTGAGCAGACACGACCTGCATGCCAATCACATCTTTTATCTTCCTCTCTTCTTTAAAGAGATTTGCGGCTTTTTTAAATAAATCTTCCATTGCCTTCATAAAGTCCATTGATTGGGGATTTCTCCTCTGAAAATAGCATTCCACTGAAGGGGTGGGAAGGCAGAAAAATGTTTATTGTAGATCATCTGTTAAACTCCAAATAGCTGAGTGAAAAGCAAAAGAGCCTCCTTAAAAATGCTTAACAGCTCAAGCAAATTCCTGTGAAAGAGCTGATTCTTGGGACTGGATCCAGAAACAATCATTAGCCTAAAATAAGTCATTTTAAGATTATACGTCTTACTCTTTTGGCATATATAATTTTCATTTTTCATTTTTCTTTATTTCTTTACCTGTATTATTAGTTTTTGAACTATAGTGTGTTTGATTATTTGAAATGCAGGTTGTAAGTTATAGAGTTGTACATATTTGGTTGTCATTTATATTAATCTTTCTTGCAATAGAATGACTTATACCATTAGCTATTTTGTTGGACAGTTCTGAGATGATTATTGTATGTGTGAAGCTGAATAACACTCAACCAAAATTACTCATCTTCAGTCTGGTCAAGCTTTTGGAATCATATAGGGAATGATTGCATCTTTGTTTGCTGTGAATTGCAGAGATTCCACAGATAAGAGGCCCACTTAAAATCTTGCAATATTTCATTTCTTTGATTTGCTCTAGATTCCCAGTCAGCAAAAACTGTTGTTCCAGTATTACAATTAACATGAAGCAGTTAGTTTTATGAGGTGCCATAATGATGAGATAATTACCAATAGAATCCCATGAAACAGAAACTATCAGGACAGGGATAAAGAGATAGTCACCAGTATGTGTGAATAAGTAAAATTACCCATCTTTGTTGACTGACTTAGAAAAAGTAACTTAATATAACAACCAAATGTGCCATTCAAATAATAATGACATTGTCATGATAATAAAATAACCCTAAGAGAGTCATTAGTGCAGGTTATAAGAAGTTAAAGAAAATTTTCCATCTAAAACATTTTCATGTTCAGTTTTCCAAAGAGTCGTGACCTTTCTTAAAGAATACTAGACTGAAACTTGGATCTGCTGGTAACTAGACATATCAAGATTAAAATACTCAACTTATAAAAATTCAGTTCATTGGATATAAACAATGTTACATTTAAAAATGTAATATAAAAATAACTGCTGTTGTTTTATAATTAATTACAATGAGCTATAAATGCTTGAAGGGATGCGGTGGCTCAGTGGCTAAGATGCTGAGCTTGTCGATCAAAACGTCGGCAGTTCAGTGGTTCGAATCCCTAGTGCCCGCATAATGGGGTGAGCTCCCATTACTTGTCCCAGCTTCTGCCAACCTAGCAGTTCGAAAGCACATAAAAAATGCAAGTAGAAAAATAAGGACCATCTTTGGTGGGAAGGTAACAGCGTTCCGTGCGCCTTTGGCATTTAGTCATGCCAGCCACATGACCTCAGAGACGTCTTCGGACAGCGCTGGCTCTTCGGCTTTGAAACGGAGATGGGTACCGCCTCCTATAATCGGGAATGACTAGCACATATGTGCGAGGGGAACCTTTACCTTTTATAAATGCTTCCGAGAAACAGTCATATAGACAGAAGTATATATGACTGGCAGTGACATAATTATTTCCTTTCTTACCCTAAATGATGAACTCTGGAAAATGTAGCATGTGTTCTAGTTATCTGTTTTAATTGAGATAATGTGTGCTTTATGTTTGTTGTTGATCAGTTTTGTACACCATCCAGAATAATGTTGTTTTAAGTTAGTCTACTTCAAACCAATATACCAGAATTAATTAAGCTAAGATATTTTTGCATCTATCTGAGCTGCCACTTATTTCTGCCATTTACAATGTTCCATGGAAGAAAACTGGATCAAAAAAATCAGTTACTTGTTTTTGCCAAAATGGAAAACACTCTGTGGTGGGTTCCGCCCAGTTCCGCCCGGTTCTGCCAAGCCAGTATCCATGATGATATGACATCACCGAACCAGTTCTTGCCCCCCCGCCCCTATGCATTATTCTTACCTTTTATTTGGCCCCACCCCCATCTCTCCTTATTTATTGCTCAGGGGAGGCCTCCACTTCTGACTCCTGGGTACTTAACACCATTTCGTTGGGTCTCACCTTAGAATTCACCTCCTCTCCTCCTTCCCACTTTCTTCCCTGTCCTGTATCCCGGGACAAACTCAAAAGGGACCTTGTGTCGGCCGCAATTGACCATCTCCTACAGATAGCTGCCATCGAGCGTGTTCCCCTTTCCCAGCAAGGTCAGGGGTTCTACTCCCGTCTCTTTGTGGTCAAAAAGTCCTCGGGGGGTTGGAGGGCCATTTTGGATTTAAAGGCCTTGAACCGGCTTATTAAGTATCATCCGTTCAAGATGCAATCCCTCTCCTCAATTCTCGAATCGATTCGCCCTTCAGATTTTCTATCCTCAATTGATCTAACGGAGGGGTACCTCCATGTTCCCATTTTACCCGCTCACCACCAATTCCTTAGATTCTCCTTCAGAGGTGCTCATTTCCAATATCCAATACATGGTCTATAGTGTCTCTTTCACCCAAACGCCAGGCCAGCCTGCGAGCCCTGGCTCGCAAATGCCTTTCTTCAGGTTCAGCATCCATTCTGACCCTCTCCCGCCTATTGGAAAAGATGGTGTCTACCTTTGGCATCACTCCGTGGTCTCGATTACACAGCAGGGATCTTCAGTGGCTGCTGCTGCCCTTTCAAAGAACTCTACAGGACACTTCAGTGCTTCGCATCAAGCTACCGGATCCGGTACTCCACTCCCTCCTTTGGTGGACCTCAGATGCCTTGTCCCACGGATCTCACTTCAGGGAGCCTCAGCGAGTTCAACTTACCACGGACGCCAGGGTATCGGGCTGGGGGGCCCACTTACTTCACCACATGGCCCAAGGTCGGTGGTCAGCCAGAGAGTCTCTCCTCAACATCAACCTGTTGGAGCTGCGGGCCATTCAGCTTGCCCTGCTACATTTCCAGAACCTAGTGGAAGGGAAAGATGTCCTAGTCCTAACGGACAATACCACCGCCAAGGCCCATGTAAACAAGCTGGGGGGCACTCGATCACGAGCCCTAATGGAAGAGGCTTGCCTCCTAGGGCTCTGGGCCGAAGCTCACCTGTCTTTCCTCAAGGCGGATCATATTTCGGGCTCAGCGAATGTCCAAGCCGATTCCCTCAGCCGGAGGCTTGTGGACCAAGGGGAATGGTCGATCTCTCCCGATCTCTTCCAGGAGATCGCCTCCAAGTTCGGGATGCTGGTCCTGGACCTATTCGCATCCTGGACAAACCATCAACTACCCCACTACTTTTCAAGGTTCCTGGACCTGCAAGCGGAAACCAAGGACGCCCTCTGCAGCAGGTGGCCTCCCGGCCTTCTGTACGCTTTCCCCCCACTTCCGGTGCTCCCCAGGGTCATCCGGAAACTTCTTGAGGAGAGAGCTCAACTTCTCTTGATCACCCCGTATTGGCCAATGTGACCGTGGTTTGCGGACTTGATGTCCCTGTCGGTCGCCCCTCCTTGGCAAATTCCAGCCTCCAAGGTTCTCCTGTCTCAAGGGACGCTTCTCCATCCGGACCCGGCCTGGCTTTGCTTGACCATCTGGCGATTGAGTGGCTCCTCCTGACTGTGGCCAAAGTCCCACCGCAGGTCATTTCTATAATCCAGGCCGCTCGCTGCCCCTCCACAGTCCGTATTTATGCAACCACTTGGCGCGCCTTTGCTTCCTGGTGTTCCTCAGTTCCAGTCTCCAACATCGGCCTCCATCATTCATGTGTTAACCTTTCTTCAATGTGGCCTCGACAAGGGCCTGGCCCCAAACACCTTGCGACGCAAAGTAGCTGCTTCTGTCCTAGCCTGTGGATCGATGGACTCCATCTCTCGCCATCCTATCATACGGAATTTCCTTCGGGGAGCAACCAATTTACGGCCTCCGACCGTCCATCGGTTCCCCTCCTGGAACCTTAATAAGGTCCTTACCGCCCTCATGTCGCCTCCGTTCGAGCCCCTTCAGACTGTCTCTCTTCGGTTTCTCTCCTTGAAGGTGGCTTTTTGGTGGCGATTACGTCCGTCCGCCGCATTTCAGAACTGGCGGCCCTTTCCATCCAGGTGGACCTATGCATTTTTCATAACGACAGGGTGGTCCTCCGCCTGGACCCGGCATTTCTACCCAAAGTTAATTACCCCTTTCACAGGGCACAGGAGCTCGTACTCCCTGACTTCTGTCTGCACCCCTCACATCAGCTAGAACGCTCGTGGCCCTGCGGACCCTGGACGTCCACAGGGCTCTTAAAATTTACATCGCCCAGACAGCTTCTAATCGCAAGACTGAGGCCCTATTCGTAGCCTTTCACCCTACATCCATCGGTTCTTGGGTATCGGGACCAACCTTGGGTCGCTGGATCAGGGCCACGATCGCTTTGGCATACCGCCAGTTGGACGCTCTTCCTCCATGCTGAATCATGGCGCACTCTACTAGAAGCACCTCAACCTCTGCCGTCTGGTCCACGCAGGCATCCCTCGAGGAAGTCTGTAGAGCTGCCACATGGACGAGCATAAGTCCCTTCGTCAGACATTACAGAGTTGACTCCTTTGCTTCGTCCGATGTGGCGCTTGGCAGACGGGTCCTCCAGTCGGTCCACCTCACTTGAAGAGCACTGGACCTATTCTTCTCCCTCCCTGGTGACATTGAGCTTTGGTATGTCCCCACTCTGACTGATGTTTTCCCTCTAGCTGGAGAATGGACGCTGGTCTTACCTGATACATCCTTTCTCAGCATAGGGGAAACATCAGTCAGCCCCATCCTTCGTGAGCCGGTCCGGTGATAGCTGGGGTGGTGGTGGAATCTAATTCTCTATCATTTCAGGAAGACACGTCGGATGAGTCTTCACCTTCGCCCTCGCCGAAGAACTGGGGCGGCCCAGGAGGGCGGAGCTTTTAAACTGACAGACTCGGTCATACGCTGGATGGAGCGTCTCCCCACTCTGACTGACATTTCCCCTATGCTGAGAAAGGACGTATGAGGTAAGACCAACGTCCATTTACAATGTTCCATGGAAGAAAACTGGATCAAAAAAATCAGTTACTTGTTTTTGCCAAAATGGGAAACACTCAGTGGTGGGTTCCTCCCGGTTCTGCCCGGTTCTGCCAAGCCGGTAGCGGTGACGATATGACATCACCGAACCAGTTCTCGCCCCCCACCCCCCATGCATTATTCTTACCTTTTATTTGGCCCCACCCCCAATCTATTGCTGCCTCCTGAGTCCCAGCTGATCAGCTAGAGGGAAAAAACCTGTTTAAACTCTTGCCACGGGGCTTCAAAGGGCCGCCCTACAGCTGATCAGTATTAAAAGAAAACAAATGTGTAGACCGGTGCCTGCAAAAATAAATGGGTAGACCAGTGCCTGCAAAAATACACGAGTAGACCAGTGCCTCCAAAAACAAATGAATAGACCAGTACAGCTCAGCAAGCAGTTAAAAACCTGGTAGACCAGTACCTCTGCTAAATCCTAAAGAATTGTCACATGACCATCAAGCCATGCCCACAAAATAAGCCACGCCCACAGAACAGGTAGTAAAAAAATTAAGAACTCACCCCTGGAAATAGTCATCACAAACTATTTTGGATTTGTTTTAGAACCTGGTTTCTTCAGAACCTGGTAATGTTACTGTCCTAGTACTCAGGTAAAATAAAATTTCAGATAGGCAATCAAAGAAATATTCAATCATGGTTTGTGTGAATGGGGTTTAAGGAATGCAGACAGTCATTACACTGAATCAAGCCACTAGCTGGATTCACATGACATATAAATTTGCAAACTAGCCAATCAGATTTTTAAGTCAGTATATAATATAAACCCAGATAATGTACTTAGTTTCAGCTTAGTATTCTGTCAAACATGGTAAGAAAATCAATTAACAATTTATTTATTTATTTGTAATGTTTGTAACTGCCCCAGTCTTGGCACCCTGGGTAGTGAATGATATCAGATAATTTTTTAAAAATCAAGTAAAATTAATGCATTTTTGTTTATATAAAACCTTATGTTATAATATAACATTATATTGCACAAGTACGTCTGGTGCGCCTGTTGTGCCCTTTCCTAGACCGGGATGCCCTCGCCATGGTCACTCATGCTCTTGTTACTTCTCGGTTGGACTACTGTAACACCCTCTACATGGGGCTGCCCTTGGGATGCACCCGGAGGCTTCAGCTAGTCCAGAATGTGGCCACGCGGGTTGTTACAGGAGCTTCTTGTTACTCCCGTGTGACACCTCCCCTGCGTGAGCTGCACTGGCTGCCGGTGGTCCTCTGGGTCCGTTTCAAGATGCTGGTATTAACCTATAAAGCCCTACATGGCTTAGGCCCGGAGTATTTGCAGGAGCATCTTCTGCCATCCTCCCATCGTCCCGTACGCTCTCACAGAGCAGGGCTCCTCAGGATGCCATCGGCTAGACAATGTCGGCTGGTGGCCCCCAGGGGGAGAGTGTTCTCTGTGGGAGCGCCAACCCTCTGGAATGGTTTGCCCACTGGGTTTAGGACAGCCCCCGACCTCCTCTCCTTCCGCCGCGAACTGAAGACATGGCTCTTTCATCAATTGGACTGACCATCTAGGGGCTTTTACATTGTAATAATTTTAATTAATTTTAACTGGATTTTAATTTACATTTAAATTTAAATTGTTGAATTGTATTCTTTGTAAACTGCCCTGAGTCCTTCGGGAGAAGGGCGGCATATAAATTGCATAAAATAAAATAAAATAAAATAAATAATATATCTCACAATCAGCTCAGGTTAAAGGCAGTCTTTTCATACCCCTTTTCCCCAATATGGATGTGATTACTTACATAAAACATACATATTGCTTTCAATTTATCATAATATAAATAACGTGGAAATCCAATAGACATGAAGTAATCAAAATATCTGCTTATGTTGCACTGAGAATAAAAAGTGTATCCAAGCTATAAAAACAATGATTTTGTATTCTTTGGAGATTATATAAGCAAAGAGATCTGAACAAATCAGCAGACTGGTTTAAAGAAACATGTTCACAGCAGGTAGAATATCACAAAAACATTTAATTAAATAATTGATTTCCACTGAATGTTGCTCCAGTTCTGCCTTGAAAATGTAACTGTCAGTTTCTGGATCATTTAGTACTTTAAATAAAAAGCTTTGGAAATGTCAGTGAGAATTCTAGAAGTTTTCTGACTACAGAAAAAAAAAGCTCTCAAAATGTCTAATAATTCAGAATATAAATTATCAATAGTATGAATTCTTTTGTGATAGTCCTAGATTGATCAGTCAACTTTGTTCGTTTTTCTTATTGTCAAACACTGATATAGATGTTTCAGGAAAGGGAAGTAGTACTTACTGTAAACCTGTATGCAAGTTCTATACTGGGCAAGCTGTATTTTGGCTGCAAAGATACTTCTTCAATGAAGACAAGCACTCGGTTGCAGCAAAGAGATACAGAAAATTTTCTCCTACCCTTCAAAAATCATCATGATTTTTACAATTCAGCTAGGGTATCCCTATTCTATAAGAAGCCTAAAAAGATAACTAAAATAGAAGAAAACAGACACGAATAATGAAAAATATCAAAGGCCTAAATATAAATGTAGAGATAGCCTGATTGTTCTAAGCTTTAATTCTGCCGTATGTCCACAGGGATCCATATGCAAATGCAGCCATTCTTGTAACTGAGGCATCACTTCATGGAGTACAGCCATGCAATGATTTGGAACCAATTTAGAATAGGTCCTTCGGAGCATGCAGCAGTGTGAATGCAGAACATGCCTGCAGCCTATTAAACATCTGGTTGTTTTCAGAATTGCTTGATTGCAGTGGAAAGACCCCATGTTCTTCTTGAAAATCATAACTGAAGCATCTCATGGCTTTTTGTGCAGACTGTTCCATGTGACAAGGTGCTTGATACATGTTTGATAGCATAGTAGGCATCAGTAGTTACTCGGCTTCTGCCCTTTGTAATTCTTGGACTATGCTTCTGTGGAACAAAATCTGCTACTGCTTATCTCATTCTTCTGAGATCGGTAAAATGAGGACCCAGATTGTTGGGGACAATAGGTTTAGGTTTAGGTTTATTTGGATTTATATACCGCTCTTCGCCCGAAGGACTCAGGGCGGTGAATAGCCAAAGATAAAACACATACAATATAAAATTTAAAAACAATTTAAAACATATTAAACAAATTTGGCCCATATTAATTAAAACACCCCTTTTTTTAAAAAAAAGAAAATTAAAATTAAGCAATTAAAAAGAGTTAGGCTAGCCTAGCTTGTTGGAATAAAAAAGTCTTGAGGGCACGGCAGAAAGTGCATAAATCCGGGATCTTCCGTATCTCTAGGGGGAGCTCGTTCCAAAGGGCAGGTGCCCCCACAGAGAAGGCTCTCCCCCTGGGGGCCACCAGTCGACATTGTTTGACCGACGGCACCCTGAGGAGCCCCTCTCTGGAGCTTACTGGCCGGTGAGAGGCTACCAGTGGCAGAAGGCGGTCTCGTAGGTACCCAGGTCCTAAGCCATGGAGCGCTCTAAAGGTGGTAACCAATACCTTGAAGTGCACCTGGAAGACCACTGGGAGCCAGTGCAGCTCACGCAGGAGAGGTGTTACATGGGAGTGCCATGTCGCTCCCATAACCACCCGCGCGGCCGCATTCTGGACCAGTTAGAGCCTCCAGGTGCTCTTCAAGGGGAGCCCCATGTAGAGAGCATTACAGTAGTCCAGGCAGGAAGTGATGAGGGCATGAGTGACCGTGCATAAGGAGTCCTGATCCAGAAAGGGACGCAACTGGCGAATCAGGCGAACCTGATAGAAAGTCCTCCTGGCCACAGCCGTCAGATGTTCTTCTAAAGACAGCCGTGTATCCAGGAGGACACCCAAGTTGCGAGCCCTCTCCGTGGGGGCCAACAACTCGCCCCCAATAGTTAGTGATGGCACCAACTGGCTATATCGGGATGCCAGAAACCACAGCCACTCGGTCTTGGACGGGTTGAGCCCGAGTCTGTTTCTCCCCATCCAAATCCGCACAGCCTCCAGGCACCGGGACATCACTTCAAGGGCATCATTGGGGTGGCCCAGGGTGGAGATATACAGCTGAGTGTCATCAGCGTACTGGTGGTACTTCACCCCAAAACCACAGATGATCTCACCCAGCGGCTTCACATAAATGTTGAACAGAAGGGGCGAGAGGACCAACCCTTGTGGCACCCCACACACAAGGCACCTCGGGATCAACCTCTGCCCCCCTGCCAACACAGACTGCGACCGGTCAGAGAGAAAGGAGGAGAACCACTGCTCCTCTGTAAATCTCTGTAAAGCACTGTGAAGCGGTATATAAGTCTAAGTGCTATTGTTATTCATGTTTATTTTATTTTCTTACTCTCAGGCAAATTTCTGTACTGACCAGGGGTGAAATCCAGCAGGTTCTGACAGGTTGTGAAGAACCAGTAGTGGAAATTTTGAGCCATTTGGAGAACCGGTAGCAGAAATTTTGAGTAGTTCAGAGAACCGGCAAATACTACCTCTGGCTGGCCCCAGAGTGGGGTGGGAATGGAGATTTTGCAATATCCTTCCCCCAGGAGTGGGGAAGGAATGGGGATTTTGCAGTATCCTTCCCCTGCAATGCCCACCAAGCCACACCCACCAAGCCACCCCACCCCACGCCCACCAAGCCATGCCCACAGAACCGGTATTTAAAAAAATTGGATTTCACCACTGGTACTGACTATTGGTCTAGTGAAATGCCTCCAGGATATTGTTGTCAACCCCACTTCACTCCATGTTACCCTGCCTGGGAACAGAACAATTGTAGAGAATTGAGGATGGGGATCAACCTGGAAGCCCTTTTTGTGATTCTTAACATTAGTAGATCATTCCATAGTAGTAGGAGATGTATCATTCCTGTTATAAAGATCACTGTTTTATGACATTGCTTTCCTTATCATTTCTATTTAATTTTTTTTTGGAGGATATAATCCATAACCTTGCTTGGCACAAGC